CTGAAAGGCACAAAAGGCTGGTTTGTGGAGAGAGGAGCAGAGAGGAACAGGTGCAGGACGGGAGAAGCAAGACTGAGGAGAAGGAGGGCAACTCCTGGTTCTGGGTACATTCTTAGTTCCAGGCGCCAGTCCCTGGAAAACCTGGCCGAAGCCTGCCCTGGGCTTTGCAGAGAGAGTTTTCCTTGAGCTAAGTCAGTTGGTTTCTGTTACTTGTCTGGCAAGATCAGTTTTTGAGATGCTGTTTTGCTCCCTGATTTCTTACCCATTCAAAGCAGGAAGCCAGGCCCTCAAGTGTGTGTGTGTGTGTGTGTCTGTCTGTCTGTCTGTCTGGGGATTGAACCCAGAACCTGGAGCCTGCTAGGCAAGTAAGCTCCATCCCCAGCCAGTCCTCAGGTTTTTTGAGGGAACTAAATTGCTCCATGTTAACAGCTCTTTCAGTCCATAGAAGCCTAAACTAATTGAAGACACAGCCCTAGGGAGGGAGGGCCTTTGCGAAACCAAAGGGAAGTTTTCAAATTTTTTGATGATGGTACTGGGTATCATCTGGTACCCAGAGCCTTATGCTTGCTAGTCAAGTGTTCTATCACTGAGCCCTTCAGAGAGTGAAAAATTTATTTATTTCATTCAAGTCAATTAGAGTTGGTTTCTCTGCCATTCATAACACAAGCTGTCTTAACAGATACATGCCAAATACCTATACTTTTGGGGTGAAGACTGAAAAGCAAATACTTAACTCTTCCCTTCTTCTGAACTAGCCCCTCTAAATTTTTCTGCTAAAAATTGGGATGAACTGCTTAAAAGTTGGAATTAAAAAGTAAAACTAGAGGGGGCTGGGGTTGTGGCTCAGTGGTAGAGCGCTCGCCTAGCACATGTGAGTGCCTGGGTTCCATCCTCAGCACCACATAGGGATAAATGGGTAAAGATATTGTGTCCAACTACAACTAAAAAATATTTTTAAAAAAAGTAAAACTAGAAAGTAATACATAATAGAAACACAAGTATAAAGTATTTCTGGATTTATTTTATTACTTTGGACTTAAAAGATTTTTTCCTTTTTTATTAAAGCTCACCGTTCTACTTTGGCAGGCATGTGTGGGAAGAAGGATAGGCACCCACTCCGATGGGATGGGCACCCCGATCCCTAGTTTAACAACCTTACTTGGCTTTATTTTTGATTCTAGAGTGAGGTGACACTTCACCCCACAAAATAGAGTAAGAGGGGCTAGGGATGTGCCTCAGTGGCAGAACATTTGCTTTGCATGTACAGACCCTGGGTTTGATCCCTAGCATCAAAAATAAATAAATAAATAAATAAAGTTTCAGATGGTCCAAGGACACAGAATAATGAACAAACAACTGGTTGGTTAACATCAGATTACTTTTTTTCTTTTCTTTTCTTTTTTGGCCCTGGGAATGAGCCCAGGGATGCTCTACAACTGAACAGTGCTTCATAATTTTTATATTGAGACAAGTTCTCAGTAAATTACCCAGGCTGGCTTTGAACTTACAGTCCAGCTCCCTCAACCTCACTGAGTAGGTGGGATTACAGGCGTGCACCACCATGCCCAGCTCAAATGGAATATTAAAGACTGAAAAAGTCCTACAAAAGTCAAGAGACAATTTTTTTAAGGGATTAAACTCAAGGGCACTCAACTACTGAGCCATATCCCCAGCCCTATTTTGTATTTTATTTAGAGACAGGGTCTCACTGAGTTACTTAGTGCCTCACTATTGCTGAGGCTGGCTTTGAACTCTTCTTGATCCTCCTGTCTCAGCTTCCTGAGCGCTGGGATTACAGGCATGAACCACTGCACGCAGCTAAGAAATAATTTTGTTTATTTATTTATTTATTTTTTTTAAATATCGTTTTTTTTCTTTTTTTTTTTTTTAAAGAGAGAGTGAGAGAGGGGAGAGAGAGAGAGAATTTTTAATGTTTTATTGTTTAGTTCTCGGCGGACACAACATCTTTGTTGGTATGTGGTGCTGAGGATCGAACCCGGGCCGCACGCATGCCAGGTGAGTGCGCTACTGCTTGAGCCACATCCCCAGCCCAATAATTTTGTTTAATCTAGTCTATCTCAAATGTATTTTGACAATGAAACTTGTTTTTTGTTGTTGTTTGTTGTTGTTTGTTTGATTGTGGTGGTAGAGATTGAACCCAGAGCCTCATACATGCTAGGCAAGCACTTTACCACGGAGCTACAACCCCAGCCTGTAACCCTTTATTAGGGCAATATGTATTGAAATCCTGCACTACTGGTGTCCTGAAAAAATATATTTTGGAAAATACTGACAAATTAAGCACTGCTAGTAATAAAAACTTATAACATGTAATAAAGACTTCATCCCAAAGCGGTATTACCCAATAGACCAAAGCAGAAATGCCAAAGAAATGTATTTTGGATGAATTTGAAATTAAAAATAAAAAAGTAATCATTTTCGGAAAATCACAATTTTGTTAAACTGAAATGTTTTAGAAGTTGGTCATGATGACATTTGCCTATAGTTCCAGTTTCTTGGATGATAGAGGCAGGAGGGTCGCTTGAGTCCAGGAATTGAAAGCCAGTCTGGGAAACATAGTGACACCCTGTCTCAAAAAAAAAAAAAAAAAAAAAAAAAGTTCGGGGGGAATTATTTTGACTTCAAAGAATATATTTGGAGAACATTACTGCCTTTTTGGTGCCCTGGACCCAGCTTCAGCCTTGTCAGAATGTGGGCCTGGATGTTGGTGGCACTGCCTGGGAGAAGCCTGTGAAGTCAACATTTCTCTCTTTTTTTATCTCCAGTATTGAGGATTTAACCCAGGGACACATGGGGCTGGGGCTGTGGCCCAGTGGCAGCAGGCTGCCTTAGCACATGTGAGGCACTGGGTTCAATCCTTAGCACCACATAAAAATAAACAACTAATTCTGGATACAATAAAGTGACTCCTTATTCCCCTTGTTTTCTTTAAAAAAAAAAAAAAAACAGGGCACGCTACCACTGAACTACATTCCCAGACATTTCTATTTTTATTTTGAGTCTCATTAAGTTGCTAAGGCTGGGCTTGAACTTTCAACCCTCTTTCCTAAGCGTCCTGAATCCCTGGGATTGCAAGTGTGCACCACCATACCTGATTTGAACCCACACTCCCTGTATAAGCCGGCACGCTGACTTGTCTTTTGCCTCAGTTTCCCTGCGTGATCCTCTAGGCCCCCAATGGAGCTATGCCTCTGGTCTTTTTTTCAGCCTCCCAAGCCCCTGGGATTACAGGCATGCGCCACCACGCCCAGCTGACTCTGATCTATTAGTTCTGTCCCCAGGAAGGTTTAATCCGGCCAGTAGCTGGAATGGAGATTGGGAATGATAAATTGTTCATTCTACCCATCTGCCCAGCTGCCTGTTCACCCACCAGAAGTCACCTCTAGCTGGATGAACCCATGTTTTACAAAGCCTCATTGGCCCTCTGGACCTTTGGACACAATGTTCCTCTGGGCTCACTCTGGCCCTTACCTCTGGTTTGGTTTCCTCACCTGAGTTCCTCCGCCTTACCTGAGTGGGTGTGGTAGCTGTCATTGCACAGGCAAACTCCTGTTCTGGCTGTGTATTCATCCAACGCGCAGGCTCCCGCTCTAGGACCACTATGCTGGCTATATCTGGGGGGAGTTTGACTGGGCCCAGTCACAGCAGAGGATTTCACTGTCCCCAAGGAGCTGAAGACAAGGGCTGTGGAATAAGCAGCTGTTGTCTCAGTGCCAACACTGGAGGCTGATTGTGCAGGTTGGGAAGGTGTCCACATGGTTGTGTTGTGATGTGTATCAGGTGGCTTGCTTGTCGAGGGGGTTGTTGCGGGGGTTGGGGGTACAGCTGTACTTTGCTCTTCCCGAGTCTTAGTCATGGTTGTTCCAAGAACAGTTGTCCCCAGAGTGCTTGTGTTTAGTGAGGTAGTGTAGATAACTGTGCTGGTTGTCACGGATAAGAGTTCGCTTGTGTCATTAACTTTGTCCAAAGTTGTTGAGGATGTAGTTAGAGCAGATGTCTCAGAGACAGTGATGGTTGTGGACCTGGATGATTCAGTGTCATTGCCTGGTGTCTTTAATGCTACTGGAGTTGTGGCTGCCTTCTCAGAGACAGGGGATACTAATGACTCCAGTCCATTATCTAGGGTGTTTGTGGTTAATGGGGCTGTCATTGGAGTTGTCTGATCCTGTTTTGGATTCTCAGCTAAAGTGGCCGTGATGGGTAAGGTTGTGGGTAAGGTTGTGGTTCTAGATGTCTGGTCCTTCAACAGAGAAGCCATCATGGAGCTTGACAGTATGGTGTCATTGGTGGATGTGGTGATAGTTGTATGCTGTCTCTCTTCCCAAGTCCCAGGTGTTGAGTTTGTTTGCTCCATAGATCCTGCCAAACTGCTGGTCAGTGGTGAACTTGGAAGAGTAGCTGTCATATGCTCCTGGGTTTCAGACACTGACGTCCTTCCAGTTGTTGGTGAGCTGTTAGGTTTAGGTGCCTCGATGTGATCTCTCCCACCGTGGGACAGAGCTAAAGTTGTAGATGGACACAATATTGTCTCCGAAACCGCAGATGCAACCCTCAAGACTGTAAAAAAAAAACAAGAGAAGCCGATCTACCATTTCTTCCATCTTCTCAAATGTTCTGACTTGCCAAGTATCTTTACTGGGAGATCCAGTAAAAATAATATCAAATCAAGTTACATTATTACCAGCTCACATTCATTTATGTTCCAACTGTCGCATACCAGGGAGGAAGAATTTAACTAGTATGGGCACCTGGGTCTCATTCTGCTGAATGTCTCTAATAACAGCAAGAGCAGATGATAGAAATCAGTATCTCATTTAGTGATAGCTCTCATTTGGTGTTTTGTCTTGTTTAGAGTTTGTGAGGCTGGGAATTGAACCCAGGGCTTTTCACATGTTAAGCCAGCACTTTAACACTGAGTACATGCTCAGCCCCTTGGTGTTCGGTTCCTTGATCACTTGTTTTGATTTTAGTTTCCTACAGAACTGAATATTTAAAGATATAAAATTTAGAAAAGAGAGACATATCTGGGTGTGGTGGTACATACTTGTAATCCCAGCCACTTGGGAGGCTGAGACAGGAGAACGATTAAGTTCAAGGCCAGCCTCAGCAACTTGGTAAGACCCTTAGAAATTTAATGGGACCCTATCTTGAAATAAGAAATTGAAAGGACTGGGATGTACCTCTGTGATAAAGTGCCCCTGGGTTCACTTCCCAGGACCAAAAATAAATAGTTAAATAATAATAATAAAAAAGAAAAACCAAAGAAGATAGAGATGCAATTGTTTTTTTGATAGAACATGACCCTTAATTACAAGCCAAGTGCTTCATTTGAGGCATTAGCTGTTAGAATCTTTTGACATCATTCAGTTTTCCTCGTCTAACACACAAGCATTGATACACTGAATCCTCACAACAAGACTGAAGTAAGTACTGTTATTTCCATTAACCAAATGAAGAAACTGAGGCTCAGACAGGTAGAGACATCTGTCCAAGGTCACACAGCTAGGAAGTGGTAGCACTGTATTTGAAACCAGGCCTATCAGATCCCAAAGCCCAACATCTACCTAACTGCTCTGCATTGCCTCATAAAAACATGGCTTCATTTCCACAGCTGAGCCAGCCATTCTCCCTTGAGAGAAAGGCCAAAAGCAGCTATGCTGAGCTGGATCCCTAGGAAACCTTCCTTGTTCCCCTGGGTAATGGGCAGAAACAGGTCCATCACCTGATGCCCTGTCATTGAAGCCCTGGAGTGATCAGAGGCCTAGTTCAGAAAAACCCAGAGGATCTAGCCCCGGTCTATGCTCATCCTCCTCATCACCCAGGTCCTCAACCCTTGCCCTGCTTGCACCTACCCCACCTACACCCTCACTTTCTCCTAGCTCTGTGCAGAGCTAAGGGGTCATGGGGTTAGAGAGGTGACCAGGAGGCTTAGAAAAAGTAGGGAAACCTGGGCTCCAGAACTGCATTTATCTCTGTGTGATTTGGGGAATGCCCCTTCTCTTTGTGGCCTTGGGCTTAATTTGAGTGATCTCTGGACCCATTTACAATAAAAAGCCCAGGCTTAAATGAACGCATGTCTTGCCACAGGGATCTCAGGTTTTTATTGGCAAGGAGAGATGTTTTTCTAAGTGGTTACCCAGTTGTCTCCACCCCCCCATGGAAAAGCCTATCCTTTCCCCCCCAGATTTGTCATGCTGTCTGTCATTATGTAACCAGACTGATTTCCAGCTGTCTCTTGGAGCCCATTGATTTGTCTATCACTGCACTAATAGCACATGATCTCACTGTCACTTTATAGCAAATCTTAGTATTTAATAGAATGAGTCTCCTGTCTTGTTCTTCAACATTATCTTAAGGGCTGTTGGCTTTTTGTCCTTCCTTACACATATGAGAGTCAGCTTGTCAAGATCTGCAGAACCCTGTTGGGATGTGATGGGAGGAGTACACTGCACTGACAGATTTGGTGATAATCGACAGTTTTATGATTCTGAGGTTTGCCCCTCTCAGGAGCTCCCTTGAGAAGCAGTGTTGTGTGACCTGGGCCCCCAAGTCAGAGCTAGGATACAATCTCAGCTCTCTGATACAGGACATAGGAATCACCACACAACTCAGTGTCATCTACTGCAAAACAAGAATGACAAGTGTACCACTTCACTGCTGGGCATGAGAATTAAATAAGGTCATGCATGAGAAGCCTTAGCACAGAGCTCTGTATGCAGTAGGTGCTCAGCGAGCAGAACCTGCTTATTGGTTGTTCCTCTCACCAAACTTGGTTGTCTCCGCTTCCTGGATGTTTTGCCAAGGATGCTCTTATCCCTTGTAAAAATCAGGGACAGGGTGGTGTGTGT